TCGCCATTACCTCCCCCCTCCTCCCACCTCCCGAAATCGCCGCAGCCTGCGCTTGTCGTCCCCGCTCAGTGTTGCCGCTGGCTCATCGCACTTCGCCGCTGTCGAGCTCGCCTCCACCGAGGTAAGGCATCAGGTCTTAATTAACGTGTTAGTTCTAATTGAAATGCATGTTAGCTAGCTCTAAATTAACGTGTTAGTTTTAACTGAAATGCATGTTAATGCTACCCGGATGCATGTTAGCTCTAATGGAGATGATGTTAGTTCTATTACAAGGCATGTTAGTTCTAGTTGGCATTCTTGTTAGATCTAGTGGATTTCATGATGGTTCTATCTTCCCTCATGCATATTCCTTGGATCTATCTTCTTCCTTTTAATTTCAGCTCATACATTACTTGGTTTGCAGCACTCACTCTATGGCTACGAGCCGGATAATTTAGAGCTATTTTTGCCATGTATTGTTAAATTGGATATAATCTTTAAATTTGGTTTAAACTATCGTAATGAAATTGTTTAGTGAAATTGAAAAATCAACTTGATGACGTTTTTTGAGCGCTTTTGAACTTCTTATATGTGATAATTTGATAGCTTGTATAGACACTCCAACAATTCTCTCACGTGAGGCAACAATGGAAGAAGATAAAGGCCAGGACCATGATCTACTATCTACAACATGGGTTCCCCCTCAGGTGATAATATCTTATTGTTTATAGTGTACTACTAACTAATGACATATACCAAAATAGTTGTCTTTTAGCATGAGTTTTGTTTCTCTATTTTTATAGGCATCCGAGCATGAGGAGAATGGTGATGAGCTTATGGGCGTTGAAAATGGTGAAGATAATTTAAACAGCGTTGATCCATATATCGGAATGGAGTTCTCTACTCATGAGGAAGCTTATAATTTCTACAATGCATACGCCAGACTTAAGGGATTTGGTGTTCGCAAGGGTCACACAGCTTGGTCGAGAAAGAAAGATGCAATCCTATCTAGAATATTTGTATGTGACAAAGAAGGCTTTAAATCTTTAAAAGATAAAAGAGAAGATGGTCGGAATGTAATTCGAAAGTTCGATACAAGATGTGGATGCAACGCAAGGATGGTTATTGGACTTGATAGAAGCACTGAAAAATGGGTGGTCCGAAAGTTAAACAGTAAGCATAATGGTCATCCATTAACCACCCCAACTCGGGTAAAGAAGCACTACTCACATCGGACACTTCATCGAGCTCAATCGACAAAAAGGTTGATAGATACTCTTGACAATCAAGGTTTACGGCCTTCTGCCATTTGTAAGGTTGTAGACGTTGCTCATGGCAATGAACAAGGCTCTCTCACTCAACAAGAATGCCAAGCACAACTTAGACTTAAACGAAGAAACAACGTCGGCCATGAGTGCGTGAACATAGTTCGTCAATTTCAAGAGAAAAAGGTATCTGATCCTCAATTTTACTTCGCACTTGATTTAGAAAATTATGGGACGATGAGAAGTGTTTTTTGGATGGATGGTAGGTCGAGGACTTCTTACTTGCAATTTGGAGATGTTGTTTGCTTTGATGTTACATATAGAACGAACAATTTAAAATTGCCGTTTGCACCATTTACGGGCGTTAACCGTCATCGACAGACTACTCTATTTGGGTGTGCGTTACTGGCCAATGAAACGGAGGAGATGTTTATATGGTTATTTAGCCAATAGTTAAAATGTATGTCGGGTATAGCACCAGTAACAATCATCACTGATCAAGATAAAGCTATGTGTGGTGCTATTCACAAAGTTTTTCCTAAAACTCGCCATCGCTTTTGTTCTTGGCACCTTCGTAGGAATGCCTTACAAAATCTTCAATCAATGCATAATGATTATGGTGAGGATGTTTCTATAAAGTATAACAAATGGTATTGGAGTAAATCGGAAGAAAAATTTGAAAAGCGTTGGGAAGAAATGAGGGACAAATATGGTGCAGATAAAAGGAGTTGGTTAGTAAATTTATACAATCATCGAGATCATTGGGCTCCAGTGTATCTTAAAGACTTTTACTGCAGGAATGACATCTACTCAGCGGAGTGAGGGAGTTAATGCTTTTTTTGATCATTTTGTGAATGTAAATACCGAGTTACATGATTTTGTTAAGCAGTATGATAATGCTGTCAGAGCTCACCGAGCCGCTGAACTTGAGCAAGATTTTAAGTCCACAAACTCAGTTCCTACATTAATAATTGAACATCCCATTGAAAAACAAGCTCGGGAGAATTATACGAAGAATCTGTTTACTATCTTTCAG